GACGAGCGAGTTTTTACTTGTAAATCATTGATCTTTTTTTCCAGACTTTCAATATATATTCTCTGCTCTGTACGTTCTTTCTTCAGGTTTTCTATTTCTTTTCTCATCTCTTCAAAATTTTTATTCATAAAGGACATTGACTGAACTATGTCGCTGTTTGATTTGCATATTTCTGTGTTAGATATTTTTATCTGACAATTTTGGGCTTTGATCTCCTTAACCTCTGCCACTAAGCTAGTTAAAGTCTCATGTAGTGTCTGTAGATCGAAATCCTGACCGCCTTTTGGAGAGCTATCTTGTCGATGGCGTTTACTTCTTTTCGCCTTAACGTTTTCGCTCATGAGTACTGCCGAGCTAATGTCTGGCTCTGACTGTGTTTGAGCTTGACGCACAGTGGTATTCGGAGTATTCAATTTTTTAGGCGGCGTTCGCTGTATGTTAGCCATGGTATACAGTCCTTAAATTGTGTTAGCAGTCAATCACAACAAACCAAACCAAACCCCTGTATGCGCAATAACGCTGTTTGTATTCAGGCGTAGTCGATGGACGGTATATAGTATAATTCAGTCAGGTTAACCACTCACAAGAAATTAAAATCCACCGTAGTTTGACACTATTTGACACTAAGTAAGATTGTATAGTGTAACAGGGGGTTTATATTGTCTATGGTTTGTGGATAACAAGAATTTCGTCGCCGTCAGTGGGGGCAACTTTACGATGTTAAACGTCAATGAATCGAGTTTAAAATTTAAAAAGTTTCTTCGTAACTGACTTTAATTTTTGTTTTCTCTAACACCGCATTAATTGATGTTTAGATGACAACGTAAGATAGTTTTACTGTAGTTAGAACAGTTTTATGGGCGTTTTAGGTCTTTATGTTGTATCGAAATATAAACTTTGGCACTGGTTTTTAAGTAAAGTTTTTCTCACTTATTATAACTATTTCACTGAGATAATAACAGTACAGTGGTGTTAACACATATTCTTTACATTCATTAGTAATTTATCACTTAAAACATACTTAAAATACTTTTAACGAATTTCAATAAATAAAATCACTTGTTTACAGTCAGCTGGTGTTGCCACGATTCCCAAGTATGTACGTAACCTAGTAAGTAGGTATATATACCTATGTACTTTTATGTATTAGTACGTATGTATGTGGGCTATTATTTTATTTTGGGGCCCAGAATGAATAAATATGACAACAAAATATAATTTTAAGTATGTTATTTTTTGTTACTTTTTTATACTGATATAACATAATTATTGTTTTAAGTATATATTACAGCAATTTGCAGCGATGTTTATTTACTATTTCTTCATTAATTTTATTATTATACTAGGAGGGGTACAGAAAAACAACAACTGTGTTACTTTAATGAAAAATCAAGTTTTATTGTTAGGAACATTAACTTCAACTTGGAAACCTATCACATATGAACTTAAGATAGGATAATGATAATTTTATATATTAAATCACAAATTATCTCAGTCCGATATCTCTTTATATGGTTAAGTTTACCACTTTGTTACCTAATTTAGATTTAAGCAATTGTAATTTTAAAAAATATTAAAAAATAATAGCAATTTGAACTCACTATTTAAAGAGACAATTAAAATGTTTCAAATAAACAATAATGATGTGAAACAAATGATATCTGAAACAGTAGTTTTAGTTTTATACCTTCAAACGTTTCCAGAAAAAGAGGGACAAAAAAGCAACGCAGTGGTTCGATACGTTACATAGTGGTAAACTTTTCACGTCCCAACATGTTTTCTTCACCTTAAACTAATAGAAACTTAATGCAAACAAAAAAAGAGCATTTCAAAATAAACAAAACTTTTCTTTAAATAAAAAAATGAAACTTCTCAAATTAACAATTTATAAACATAAAAAAAAACCTTAGTCTTTTCAGTCACATTCGTAACATACACGTCTAACTTTCTTAATTTTTTTAGGATTGGGTACTATTTCTGAAATATTTTCATATGGTTCGTATGAAACATCTTTTCTAACTTGTTTTGAACCTCTTCCCCGAATCGTCAACTGATTTTAAAAACATAATCTTGATCTCTCCTTCGTCGTCAACATCACTTTGGGCGACACCTACATAAAAGTATGTTTTGTCCTTGTCAGTGGAAACTTTGACTGTAACGTAAACACCCATGGATACTTTTGATGGATGTAAATTTTCCTTTTCAATTAATTTTCGTTCATCTATATTAGAAACTGAAGCTTCTTGTTCCTTTTTAAGTTGAATCTTTGAAAGAGGCTTATCATCTGAGCTCCAAGTCGAAGAATAAACCATTTCGTAATAAGACCTCTTGGGATTGGTCACAAGATTAGTTATATCAGTTAATACTTCTTTAAAGACAGGAATTGGCTGATTGGTTTCAGGTGTTAAGCAGCCGCAAAAACCCATTTCAAAAAAGCAACTAAGATCGCGGTAGTGCAATTCTCCTGCATTTTCTGTGAAAATTTGATGTACCTGCATTGTACCCCGGAGAGGGATAATGTCCTTGGGAACAGTTTGCTCTACCTTTGCAATATCGGTATTAGTTATGAAATGTAGCTGAATTTTGCTGGCGTCCTTTAAAGCTTGAAAAAATGTCTCTGCGTCAGGAATGTCTAAGCCAAAAGCAACTTTTTGGTCAGCTGTTCATTTAAGATAGCCACCAACACCATCAGCCGCACCCCTTCCGTGACCTGCTTCGAAAAAGTTCCAGGTAATGCGATCAAAGTTATACTCTTTGAATGTTCTTGAGCAGATGAAATGAAAGTTTATCTTCTGCCTATATTGTGTCGCAGGACCGTCGGAGAAGACATGGATTGTTTTTATGTGTGGATGATTAGCTTTTAATGTACTTAGAACTGGGGTTTTCTTTTAGCTTGCTAATACCGAGACATTCCTGCAACATATCGCCTTTCATTTTTTATTTTGTATGATACTCCCTTCAAAAATGCGACGTATTGTAAATCGATCTCTAAGAGTCTTTATTCTGGAGTAATGGTCTCTGATGGCATTAGATAAAGTGGCGTACTTTTTGTCTCCGTCTCCGCTCTCCGACTTTTTTGCTTTGTTCTTTTGTCTTTTACATCTTTTTTTGTACTTATTATATTTATTTTTCAGCTTATCATTTTCTGCCTTCAATTTTATATTTTGCCTATATAATGTCGATCTGTCTCTTCTTACTTACCAACTTATTTTGTCTTGTCGTGTTCCTCTAGAGCGTGGAGAAAGGGGAGTTCCTGATCGTGGCGTCGAAGCTGGTGTATTATTCAAAATGACCTGTGCAATTTTTTGGCGCTCTTTACGTTTCTTGTTTGCATACTTCCATTTATGCTTTATAGATCTATGTTCTCTCTCTGTCATGTCTTTTACAAGTTTTTTATTAGCGTGATATCTTGCAAGATGCTTTTGTTTAGCTTCAGCATTTTTGACCGGGTCCTGTTTTACTTTTTCCCTATAACGTCGTTGTTTTTCAGCCAGTGTTGAAGCCATTATGTTGGGAATAGTATACTGTAACGAATCAATCTAAAATTAAATAGTTTTTAAATATAAAATTATTAAATAATGAGTAAAAACCTTAAGGTTTAACCACTGCGTTACTATAGCCACACCTGCGTTACTTCTCGTAGTAACGCAGTGTGTTGGTAACACAGTTGTAAAAATTATACATATTCTAACGTTTCAGCCATATAGTAATAAATTAAAAATATTTTTTAATGCCATTCAAAAATGTACACATTCTCATACAGATGAATTTAATAAAATTATCAAATATCTAAAAAACTCACCGTTTATCACCCGTAACTCAGCGGTTTCACAATAAACACACGCACCTCTCCTGCCGACTCTCGCGCGACTGGCTCGACCAATTCTAAGGATACGCACTCCCCCTGCATCCCGCTAGCAATTGTTGACGAAACAAACGAATTTTGACGTTGAGGTATACAAAAAGCTAAGTTAAAGACTTATTTTCGTATGATAACATAGTGTTCGTGATTTTTCACTTAGCCACGAGGACAAGACAAGGAATGTTTCGTAAATTAGAAAATTCCAAAGGGAAATGATAGTTATCAGTGTTGTAGTAAAGTTCAAACAACTGCTTATTACTATAGATATTCAAATTTAATAGCTATTTAAATATTTAAATTTAATTTTAGTGTTTTTGAAGTGAGTTGCTTATAGGGACAGCGCAATTTTGTAGGGAATACACCTGCGTTTCTCAGAAATACAACTGAGTTACCGTGATTTAAGAAAAAATATAACTTGTTATGTTCATTTATTGTAATTCTCTTAGACGGGTATATTATCGCTAACGTACTAAGAGTGTTTTTATTTTAGAAATCGTTGTTTGCTTTAATAATAATCATTTTTGTTTGAGAGAGACCTGTTATTGGAACCAAAATAAAATAATAGCCGATGTATATTTTTCCTATTGTTTCATTCTAACTTCTCAATCATTTTCTCTTTCTTTAAAAACATGAATTTCTAGTACCTACACCTAGTCATACATTTTACACCACCGTAAGGCAGACTGGGAGAAAATGCCTGTGGCATTAAGTCCGCCATTGTACAATTCTCGTTTGGGCATAAAGAACTACAATAAATAAAAAATGATGTGTAATTTTAAACTCTTTATTTAGCTCGTGCTTACTACCCACTAAACCAACAGGCCCATTTATTAATTTTACTAATAAAAACATAAATGATTATTCTGTATACCGTATTTTGTATTTTAAAAACATACAAGAAGGTATTTCGTAATCCAGTCACGTCAAGTGTTTTGCCCAGCTTACTTATAGTTCGTTAAAACTACCTAAAATAAGTGTACAGTTAGTTTTTAATTTTTATTGACTAAAATAACACAAATTGTAATCATCGCTAACCATCACTAAAAAATTAAAAGTCACCATTAAACATCTCTTAAAAAAACTGACACTGTTAACAATTTCACCAGTTGACGATCGTTCATACTTTATAGTTGGTACCTTATATTGAAACAATGTTTGCTTTGGTATATTCCAGGGTGACAAATTTGAAGTCGACTACCCATTCAGTAGATTTTGGTAGTTTTATAGGAACAGGATAATCTGAAAATAATTAAATCAATTATGTACTTAGCCGTCATTATTATTACAGACAAGCTAACTCACAATTCTATGAATATTGCGCAAATAATAATCAACACACGTCATTCGTGCTAATTCTGTTGTTGACACGACCAAACTAAAATTTCTCTTAAATTCTATTATTTTAGTGAGGCGATTTCCAAAATGCTATTCTGTCGTCAAGTCATACTAAATTTGGTGTTCAATTAGACACATTAGACCAATGAGGACGTAAATAAACAGTATTAAATTTGAATCTGACATCACTCAAAGTTGATAAGGAAAGTGTTGCCGTTGTTTAAAATTAAGAATGATATGATAAAGAGTGAATTAAAAAATATTTTCAAATGATATTATTAGAATTTCAACAATTCTTGTAAATGATTATTAATGCATATAAAAGATTAAATAGTAAACAAAATGTTGTGTTTCTCAGTTATAGATAATTAAATATAGTTTTACTAAGTTCTCATACCTGGCAGCCCGTGGTAAACCTTTTTCGTTATTTATATAACTAAACCAAATATCTCTCTAAATCTGTACAAGTAAATTTGGCATGATAAAATAAGCATTTTGTGAAAAAATAATTAACAAACAATAACATCAATCCAATTGAAAATAAATACATAGGCTAGAGCATAAATAAATAAATTAACTAGCAAAAGGTTGTGCTTTAGGAGGGTTCGTAAAGTTTTCTACCTAGTAATAATTTTTAAGATTTTTTTTGAAGCAAATTATCTTTTAATATGTGAATTATAATATCGCCTTCAATAATTAATTACTTTTAACTAAACAATGTTTATTTCGATATTCATTCTTTAGTTTTCTAACAGATGACGTAATTAATAACAGTTGTCTTGAATACATTCAAAGCGTGTTCTTTAGTTTCTAAAGATAATACGTAGCTATGTCTTAATATCCAGATAAGATCCATGATAATAATATAATTGTGATTTAAGATGAAAAATATGATGCTCATACCTAACCACTAAACCGACCAGAGGCAAACCATGAAATCGCTAGTCATCATAAAAAATAATTCTACCAAATTTAAAGAATTTATACTTAAACAGAATAATCAACAAATTTGTCAGCATGTGTTTAGATAATGTCTAATTTTAGTCTGACATTACTAATTTTAATCATCTTTGATTGATAATAACAAATGACCAATTATGGACTAAATTAAGTAACTTAACTAATTTTGGTTGTGTCAAACTAAATATAGTTAAGTCCTACGTTTTTAGAATGCGAAACGTTGTTTGACAGTACTAAACTAATTTTTAGAGAGTTTTCGAACACCAGAACCATCGGCTCAGTGTTGTAGGACAACAATTTTTTTTAGGTCTCTTAAATCAACAACACCAGATTAAAGGTCAAATTCAAAAATACAGGCACTATGAGTACTTTAGCTGCACTTTTAGTCAGTGGGCATAAAACTATTCTCTTTTTAATTTAAATGTTTTACTTAGGTGAACGTGTGTGACATTCTTCTATGCAGAAGCATAGAAGAACGTCACACTATTAAATTATTATCACAATATTAAAAAACAGTATAAAGCCCAAACATTTGTATGCCTATAATTATGTTTTTAAAACTTTTAATTGTAGAGGACGGTGAGCAGCATGTTTTTATGGCAATCTTTCTATTAGGGTTCTGTACCTGTTAATACTAGAAAGCTGTTATTTTGCATCCTAACATAATCCTTAGAAAAAAATACTGCAGTTGTTACCTGAAAATGCTTCGTCATTAACTACTGAATCAATGCGAGTAACGTGTTCTTTAGTAGTATTGTCTCTAACTTTAAATACTTGAGACATATTAGTGCTTGTTACGTGCCTAATCTAAAAATCTGTCTCTTTATACCCGTGACACCGGTTTTACACCAAAAGGTTTTCTTAAATCGAAAATGTATAACGTTAAAGCTCGCACCAGGCTCTCATGTTTAAACAAGTACACTGCACATACCATACTTACCAAAAGGTGAAATTTTAAACACGTAGGTGTTCCATATGACATAGATGAAAATGAACACGATGAGAGAGCCAGCAATCGCCGCAGTCATCCAAATGTAAAAACAAAATAGTTTACTTTGTTCGTTGTCTAGCCTATCTGGTGATACACACATCCCTTCAGCTTGCTCTTCATAGATATTGATAAAACTGCAACAAGAAATACTATATAAAAAAAATTATTTTACTACCAAATTGGGAAATAGCCGAGCCAATAAATATAAACTTAATGCCAATCGTATCTTTAATTGGCCTTTAGATCTGTTTCGGTACCATCATAGGGGAAATAGTGACTCTGCCGGAAAGTCAAGATACTGTTCAAGTGAGACCTCTCCAATTCTAACAGTTATCATTCCATTCCAGTTCCATGTGTAATGTGTTATATCAAGTCCATTGATATAACACATTATACATTGTTGTTTTAACTCTATGTTCAAGTCGGTCGACGTTGATGGCGCAAGCCGAGATAGACAAATGAAAGTGTGGTGTGGCTGCGTCTTGCAAACCCAACGTGTGTGAGTGAGAAAACAGCAAATAAATTTGTTTCTGTAATTCTTTCATTGCTTAGCGAAAGTGCTGAGAGTGAGTACATACTACGTACTTTTTGTTTTTTTTTGTGCTATTTAAAATTAATTCTGTACCTGAATGTATTTGTATCTGTTCTTTATATACGGATATCACGGATTAACGTTGAAATGTAACGCTTGAACGTTTAACGAAGTTATATTTTTAGCATAGAGCAACACAGGCCATCGGCATTGTTCTATTACTCTATGCTTTAGTAACGGATTAACGATTAACGAAGTTAACTATTTGAATAACGGTGCCCAGCTATTTGATTTATTTGAATACAATAATAGCTCCGATTCTTACTGAGTAATAGTATCACGTATTATCAGTGAAAGATAGGGTAGGTTGTTGGGTAGATAATAAGCAGATCCTTATTGGGTAAGTTCTCCCTTGATTAGCCTTTCTTAAATATTAATATTGTTATTGTTATGATATTAAATTTGCCCTTAGCTGTTGCTAATGTTAGAGGCCGAAAACAAAGAATGAGTGCTAGGTTCCCTAATCAGAAACGTATCAATATTACTATCAAAGAACGATAAATGATTTCATTATTATTATCAAGTTATTCTTTAGAAATATATAAGTAGGTATGTTAATCAGCAGTCTGGTTACCATAGTACAGGCTCTGTCTAGTTTGGATTCAGACTGCCGTGTGTGAAATGTGCGGCAATATTATTATTATTCTCACATTTACACAAATAACCTACTTAAATGGAACTTTTACATTAACTCACCCTTCAAAACAAGGTCCACAATCATGAACGGACTTTATACATGATTCAAATGCATAAAGCAGCGGCATGAGTCGGTTCAAATCTTCGCACTGCAGGCATTGGTAGCATATTTTATCTTGTGTCTCACAGTAGTATCCTTCCGAACACTGTGCGTCTTCCTGGCAAGACAACGGCTTAGCACCCACAAGTGAACACAGTAGCATTAGCAGACAAGCATACCTGAGCAAATAAAAATTTTAATTCGATAGTACTTATATAACTTTTTTTTTCGTTTAATGTCCATCCATTCAGTTTATTTTGAATTCTGACACAGACATTCACTTTAACTAAAAGAATTTAAGTCAGCAAAAGCTCATAATTACGAAAGAGCTGGTTCTAACGAGTGTAAGTAAGAACCTCGTATCACAATTAGAATAGAAAAAGATAACTACGAAGAAGAAGACGACGAAGATGAAAGAAGAAGACGAAAACACATAATAGTCGTACAGAATAAAATAGCGTTTGAGTAACACCCTACAGAGAAGTTTTAATGTTACGTGATTTCTACAGGTTGACTACAAATCTGTGCAACTTGGAAAAAAAACAAGCAACCGGTAGCTCGGGTAGTAATGATGGATGGATTCACATTAGATTTCAGTTTTTTTAACCCATAGAAGATTGTATTGTTTTTAAATATATTACAAATAAATGTGTGTGACTTTGTTTTTTTTTGTATATTCTATGTTTCGCTTTCGCTATTTACCTACCTACCCATACCACAGGTCATTACAAATGTATGTATCTACCCATACCTAACGGTGGTCAAGGGTAGGTTTATAAAAGGACGTATGTCAACTACGACATCTTTTATTAGAGAAAATTCTTGTACTTTGATAAACTTCAAAAACTTTTATGATTAAAAGTAGAAAAACACTATTACCTAAACATTGTAAAAAATCTCTTGTTAGATACCGGTAATGTAAACACGTACTTGTGCAAAATAGACTGATTCCGAACACAAAATATGCGAAACAACTAATTCCGCTCTGCGCGCCAAATGGAACTGACTGAAATTGTAAACAGGACAGCAACTAACTAAGGTTCGTCTATAAAACAGGTAACGACTTGAACCTACATAGACAATACAAAATGCAGTCAATCACGTTTCAACGTGTCTCAAACGGAACAATAGGGCGAATACTTTAATTATTTTGTCAGCATAAGTAGTAAATGCGTGCTGGCCTAAACATGTAAAAACGGTGATCAAAAACCTAGTACCTGCCACCCAATGCTTTCCTTTACCAAATGGTAAAGAATAAAAATATTAAACTGGATTTTCAATACAATAGTTCCTATACGTAATAATAATGTAGTATAGCAGAAACTATCCGAAAAGCGAATAAAACTCGCGCAAAGAGCGTTCCGTACAACAAATAACAGATGTAGCTTTAGGCGCACAATATTGAGAGATTTACCTTGTTGTTTTAAGATTTTAAACTTCTTTTAGATTTTCATATAAATTATATTAGAAAAGAAGCAAAGCCTATTGGGACGAAGTTTCTTATCGCGCGTTACACGCTCAACAAGACTTTTGCCGACACTTCTTGCTATAGTACGCACGCACTTACTTAGATAGTTTATTAAACTAAGCTACGGATTTTAATGCAGTTTTCATCAATAGAGAGAGTGATTCAAGAGGAAGGTTTATATGTATAATACATGCATATAATAGCAGAGAAAATCCGAGAATTTCAAAGATTTGTGATAAATCTGGTTTTTGTGCGCTTACATTCCAAACGCTTGCTAAACCTTACGAGATAGACCAAAATAATGTACTATGGAATTGTATAACTTAAAAAGATCTACAAAAAAGTCCGCGATGGTATATGTCTATCTCCTAAGGATAAACCACAGTAAATATTTTTATTTTTTTACAAAAAAATTATTGCTTATTTACAAAGCTATTTTAAAGAATACATTATTATTCCTTATCTAATTAAAAACGTTAGATAGGTTGTGCATTTAATATAGATTTAAATTGCAACAGCAAAGTGCCATACGTCCGTCCCGGGTGGCAAGGGCCGGCAGGAACGGAGCGATATGATTACTAGCGATCCGCCCTGGCTTCGCACGGGTGCAATGTAAATGCTACTAATACTACTAATGTGGTGTCAGTGTGGACTAATTAATTATACTATTATTATGATAGGATATACCACAGGACATCTTTATATGCTATCTATATCTATAGGCCTGCTCCGATCCTACCTGCCGCTGCCACCTGGGTTATCCTTAGCAGATAGCCATATATCATCTCAGAGTTTTTTTAACCGACTTCAAAGAGAAGGAGGCTCTATGTTCCAATGTATGTATTCTTTTTTTGTGTTTTTTTTATTCTTATTTACGGAGCTGAGCCACAATTATGACTATATTGTGCCATCATAACCATTTTTGTTTTTTAAACTAAACTTTAATTAATGTGAGATAATGCTTCACTTATAATTATCAATTCATACCATTATTATAACATTTCTAATTAAACATACATTGACAAAGTACTATACTATTTGTAAATGTTCTAAAATTATGTAATTTTACATTTGACAAAATGTTTAAAAACAGTATAAAGCATATTATTTCATAAATTATAAATTCTCCCACTAATGTGGGAAAACAAAAATGTTTTTTAATGGTAACACTGATTCTAAATTACAATTATCAATGTTTTATTTCAATTATAGCCTTATTTACGATATTATCAATACAAAAACCATAAACTTACACGTGATAAGTAATTCCGCATGATTTATTATGGTTTTGTGACCTTGAATCGCATTCTTTCACTACGCGTTTACCCATTTTGGCGATTGTTACTGTCATGTGTCGCTATGTTCAACTCGGTTGACGCCACATTGAACACTGAATTGACGTTTGCTACGCATATGCCTGTGGACAGATGTGCAGTAGCAACGATTTTAGGCGGTAATTCCTCATCTATGTATTACTTGTTAGAGGAAGGCTCCGTCACACAGTTTATACTAGCACAGACATCGCCGTTAACTCTAGCTTTCAAAGGGCCATGAGTCAATTAATTTTATAGCATTAGCATAGTTTTAAATATAGGAAATATTTTATTCCTGATTTCAGTTAATAAATTATTATTATTATTCTCTTTATTTACTTTATATACATATTATTTACATTTTAAACATACACTTTATAAGAAATTATTAAAAAATACATGTTTAAAAATATTAAAAGTAGTAGACCACCGACATCGGGTACAGGGACCAAGACACCGGTGGTTAGGACTCCAAAGATAGGAACCTTCTCACTATACGAGCCGTGTCAAGGAGGACTGCCTTTTGGATCAAAGGTCTTTATTATTATTATTAATATACATGATCACATTTTTACCGTAATTCTATAGCGAGCGAATGTTTTTTGCTGAGGATCGAAGAGGGCCACCCCCTTTTTCTTTCAATCCATTGGTAAATATCAGGTAGTAATTCGGAGAGTGCCACCACTGCGATGGCCAGACCGTGGACACGGCTCTCCACACGCTGGCAGAGTGCCCGGCGTGGGTTGAGCAGAGGCGAGACCTCGTGGCGGCCATCGGAGTGGGAGTTCTCTCGCTCGATAGCCTGATTGCGGCTATCGCGCGGAGCGAGAGTGCGTGGAACTCTGCCGTCTCCTTCTGCGAGCAAGTTATGCTCGCGAAGGAGACGGCGGAGCGGGACCGGGAGAGGTTTAGGACTCGTACTCGTCTGTAGATGACCCGAGGTATGTCGGGGCACCAGGGACTTCCTTTCTAGGGTATACCTGGTTCCCCGGCTATTAGTACCCGAGACGGCGTGCGGTTTTAGTCGGTTCGAGTCCGACATGCCACCGACAGGTGGTATCCGAGGGGATTTCCGCACGGGAAAAAAAAAAAAAAAAAAAAGGTAGTAATTCGGAAACCGAGTATCAATTACATATACAATTAAAACAAGTCTCTCAAAACGGATGTCACATATTGCTGTTTATGTTATCTATTTTATATTTTTGGAAATATCTATACATATAGATATTTCCAAAAATATAAAATAGATTACATAAACAAGTAAAATTACATAATTTTAGAACATTTACAAATAGTATAGTACTTTGTCAATGTATGTTTAATTAGAAATGTTATAATAATGGTATGAATTGATAATTATAAGTGAAGCATTATCTCACATTAATTAAAGTTTAGTTTAAAAAACAAAAATGGTTATGATGGCACAATATAGTCATAATTGTGGCTCAGCTCCGTAAATAAGAATAAAAAAAACACAAAAAAAGAATACATACATTGGAACATAGAGCCTCCTTCTCTTTGAAGTCGGTTAAAAAAACTCTGAGATGATATATGGCTATCTGCTAAGGATAACCCAGGTGGCAGCGGCAGGTAGGATCGGAGCAGGCCTATATATATAGATAGCATATAAAGATGTCCTGTGGTATATCCTATCATAATAATAGTATAATTAATTAGTCCACACTGACACCACATTAGTAGTATTAGTAGCATTTACATTGCACCCGTGCGAAGCCAGGGCGGATCGCTAGTAATCATATCGCTCCGTTCCTGCCGGCCCTTGCCACCCGGGACGGACGTATGGCACTTTGCTGTTGCAATTTAAATCTATATTAAATGCACAACCTATCTAACGTTTTTTAATTAGATAAGGAATAATAATGTATTCTTTAAAATAGCTTTGTAAATAAGCAATAATTTTTTTGTAAAAAAATAAAAATATTTACTGTGGTTTATCCTTAGGAGATAGACATATACCATCGCGGACTTTTTTGTAGATCTTTTTAAGTTATACAATTCCATAGTACATTATTTTGGTCTATCTCGTAAGGTTTAGCAAGCGTTTGGAATGTAAGCGCACAAAAACCAGATTTATCACAAATCTTTGAAATTCTCGGATTTTCTCTGCTATTATATGCATGTATTATACATATAAACCTTCCTCTTGAATCACTCTCTCTATTGATGAAAACTGCATTAAAATCCGTAGCTTAGTTTAATAAACTATCTAAGTAAGTGCGTGCGTACTATAGCAAGAAGTGTCGGCAAAAGTCTTGTTGAGCGTGTAACGCGCGATAAGAAACTTCGTCCCAATAGGCTTTGCTTCTTTTCTAATATAATTTATATGAAAATCTAAAAGAAGTTTAAAATCTTAAAACAACAAGGTAAATCTCTCAATATTGTGCGCCTAAAGCTACATCTGTTATTTGTTGTACGGAACGCTCTTTGCGCGAGTTTTATTCGCTTTTCGGATAGTTTCTGCTATACTACATTATTATTACGTATAGGAACTATTGTATTGAAAATCCAGTTTAATATTTTTATTCTTTACCATTTGGTAAAGGAAAGCATTGGGTGGCAGGTACTAGGTTATTGATCACCGTTTTTACATGTTTAGGCCAAAAAGAACAAGACAACGAAGAACAGGACAATGAAGACACTGAAGACAATGAATCGATTTAAAAAAGACATCAAACAAAAACTCCCTAGCTAAAATCACCGAAAATAAACTGAATTATTTATATTATAAAAAATGAGACTTTTTCTAAGTAATTAAATAAAATACTTTACCTAGTAACTATAACTTACCTATTCTCAATAAAATTCTTAATGAAAATATAATATAAGATATAATATCGCAAAGCGATTCCATAGACCCCTCACGCCGTTTTTTTATTCCAGTTCAATTCCGTGGCCAATCCGGCTGCGGGAAGGGACTATTTTCATCTTTTTTTTAAATATCCCATAACCTAAATATGATAAAATATATACTTTGTATTTTTATATAATTTACCTCTATTTTAATTATGATCACGATTTTGACCATCACACGCATTTTGTTTGTATACGCGCTCCTAAACCGTTAGTTTAGTAATGTATGGGACATTTGTTCACATGAACGCGCGCTTTCTACGCGTAAACGATAATTTTAATAAAAGGATTCATCCATTTAAATAATCCCTATACCCTTTTTGACAACATATAAGAAGGTGACATCTTTTAAATTTTTTCAAAACAAAAACTCCAATTGCTCTTAGTGATGAAGACGCCCCTTCTGCTAAGGTCGATATCTACAACAAACCTTACTCAAATCTATACTATCGCTGATATCTACAACAGACCTTATTCAAATCTATACTATCTTAAGTTACACACAATGATTTATTAGTGTTCCGTGACCCTGCCTACTTTTTAGTCAATCCAGGCGTTTATGTAAGTTTGTATTTTTGAGGTAATAGAAATAAAAAAAAACTAAATAATTTGCATTCCACTTTATTCACAGGGAAATAACTCTCACAATTTAGTTGTAACAGCAGCACTTAGTATAATACAGTAAGTACATTCAACGTATGTAACAATCAACAAGAGTTGGTGCATATTTAATAGGTGTTTCACAGCTCTATTGCAATAAGGCACTTCATTTTATAACATTAATTTAGTGACTAATAGTTGGAAAATACAAACGCATTTGTTTATAACAAAACTGCAAAAGCTTATTTTTGTTAGTTTATATATTAAGATGGCACCATGTAAAGAATCACTCGTACCACACAGTTTGGACATGCGACGTGTGGCCCGTACGTTCTAGAAGAAACACACGTCACACGCGCGAACACTATAGCGTAATAAAAATAATCCTATATGCGACTTAACTGAATATTGAATTACATTGTTGATGATTAAAATACGAATGAAGAAATTTTCAAAACGTTCAAATAAAATACTATTAAAAAATATTTTAAAAATAATCTTATGCATCCTATAAAGGCAGTATACAGCATTTTGTTCATAAAAAAACATGCAACAAACGTTCTCGTCTATAAAAAAAGATTTATTCTATAACTGTTAACTCTAACTGTTAAAGGAACAAATTCTCTGTGTGCCACGGGGTCGGCACATATCACACATCTTCAAGCAATTAAGAATCTGTAACATTATCTAAAATTGTAACTAACGAATAACATACTGTTTAATAACTAAACACATACTAAAATTAATCACAAGTTCTTTCATATAACATAATATCACGTACACAGGTCTACTGAATTAAATAATTGAACAGAAATTGATGGTTAACTGAATAATAGTTTGTGTCTATAAGTATGTGGTTTTGGCATGTTTCATAAATAGGTCACTTCACATGTGACTATTTCAAGAAATCTGTATATAAAAATATAATAAACATATTGTTGGTAAAACCTTAAATTTTTAAATTATAAAACTGTATAATGTCTCATGACACTGAACTGGGATATGCTAAGATGTCAAAATTATTCTGATATATTTGGACAATACGGATAAATAATATGAATAATTACTTGTTTTTATTATTGAATACATTAGTTATTTAAATTTCAATATTCATTAAGTGCTATTACTTTTCTGAGAGTTTATGGTAATAATATTATCCTTTAAATGCATGTTGAATAGTCATATTAAAAATATCCATTTTATCCAGATTTATCCGCATTATGTTCAAGAAGTCTCCAAAAAAAGAAATGACATGCCCAACTGAGAACATTGTTAAAATATTTCTATGCTTCCATATGTAATATAATCATGTACAATATAGGAGATACAATACACCATGTATATATGAAGATTCTATTCTCAAAAAAAAGGAAACTCTTTAAACTCGATATATCCTATGTCGTAAATGTCACTTATAACAACTGGTTGTACAACACTGCACCACTTATGATATATTAATTATTATGCAAAATAAATAATGGACTATTTTAAAATATTAGTTGTTCGTTCACACGACATAGAACATATTTAAATATATTTAATGGTAATGCATAAAATCATTAAAAATAAGATGAAAACTAGTCTCAACTTTTCTAGTGGCTAGAATGTGATTTCTTAAACGATTGGTACAGTAATAATAGATAAAAATTATCTAAGTTAATTTTACTTGAGCAACCAAATTATAGCACAATGTCTTTTTTCTCAACATAAGTTTGCCCTCTCATTCATAAACGCACGTATTTAATAGGAAGCCCTTTGTAACTTTCCCAATAGAGGGATTGTATAACATATAAAATAGAAATACGCATTTACGAGTAAGAGGACGAATCGTTTAAGCTACCAACTTTATCCTTACTATCTCTTAAGGCTATGAGTGTATCACGGAGATCATGAAAGTGGTGAAAAAGATCTCAACGTGTAACGTGCATACAAATATCTAAATGCACTTTTAACATCACAGTATAATGGGTAAAAACCCTCTTTGAAGAAGTTTGAACTAATCAGTCAATAAGTTCAAACAAATTTTCTAAAAGAGCACTTTGTACAAACGTGCAATTTAACCAATTCTTTCTTAAACTACCACAATATAATGACTTTTCATCTTAACCTTAATATAAGCTAAATGAGTTTTAAATTGTGCAATTATACCGACTTTATCGTTTAATATAATAATCTCTACAAATAAAATTAGAGACACTTGAGCAGGTCAACTGACAAATTTTCATTGATTTAAAATAATTAAGAACATGGACACAACACTGGTACATCAACAATCTAAAAATAGATTCAATCGCACTTAGCTATCGCGCCCTATGTCGAAGGAGCCCTTGCTGAGGACACGCAGTCCGTACTCAAGTTTTATTACAGTTAGTTTAAGAAATCTCAAAATGTTTTACGATGATACGTGTGAGCAGCGATTAACTCGTAACTTTTGAACATAGAACATAAGCAAACATTACTGTTTCAATTTTTTTATGATTGAAGTATGAATAAATCATTTAAATCAAGTATTTATTTAATTTTTAAGTTTTTAATATATTTTATAAAGTTATAATCGAATGAATAATTTACTATGAGTAACTGAGTTTTTGTCGTGGCGTTCATTCTTGAGGAGTGGTGAAAACCGAAACAACGTATTATTTGACGATACATATGAAAAACTCTGTCTAGCTTAGCTATTTATGTGTGTTAACTATGTATTTTATTTAATTATAATGTCTTCGGCAACAGGAAATGATATTTTTATTATTTCATGAATTTTTTGCAATCTTTCCTAAGTTTCCACATTATTTTAGAATATATTACTTATTTTATAAAAAATATTTTTTATTGTTTACTGACAAAAGTTTGTCGAAACGGAATTTTGGCAAATGGTATCTCAAAAGAGTCTTGCTATTATTGTACAGATTCACATTATTATTGTACAGATCAGATTACAACCAGTAAATAATTTATTTCTTTTTTAAATGTATTTTCATATCGTAAATAGCGTATATCGTAACAACGGGACTAACATTAGTAATTCGTTAAGAATAGCGAATGTCAATCTATTCCTTAGTAATAACTATGTATTTAAAACTATTAAAAAAATTCAAATTTTGATTACCTGGTCATTATTTTGTCATTCGGGCAAGAAACTTTTTTGATTTAGTTTACTTATCATTATTAAACAAACATCTGTTATTTCATCTCTTTTCCTCTAGAATGGTTATTTCTAAAAATGGATAATAGGTATTTATTGCAATAAAATAGTATTCTTTCTGACTATAAACTTGGTATCATACAATTACTAGACCTAAAACTCGTTATCATAATAGACATAAGGTTATGACGTTTGGTTGATTTGTACCACATTGGTGATCTGTGTGATAAAGTTGTACGGAGCGCCGGTCTGCGTCCCTGAGGAGTGGCCCTGGGTGTAGTCGGCGCCTGAACTACTCTCTCGGTTCCCGTTGTTGGAACTCTGAAAATAGACATTATAATTAAGTACATGCATTAAATTGTTCCTTACAATAAAGCTAATAAAAATAAGTGTTTCTATTCGATTTATTGTGTTATTGTGTATGTACTGATTGGCCTTTGCCTATTTATACGAGAAGTGATCTAAAACTAAATAATAATAATAACTTCAAACATCTCACCTGTAATGGTAACCAAATTTTTGATAAACACACATATTATAGATAAATTAGCCCCAGACAGAACAAATTCTTATCACAGATGATGCTTATCACACAATTATTTGTCCCGGGTGGTACTCGAACCCACGACCTCTGGCTTAGCAGTCAGGAACACTAACTACTATAATAAATATTTAGGACTTAAAATTCAAACACAGTCTACATTGGTATAATTTTACCTATATTTTCTCTAAGCATTCAATTTACTTTTGAAATTAATTATATTGGTTCGATCCTTATAAACGACTGAACAGAGACCGTCATCTCGCTATCATGTGTAAATTTGTTGCTACTGATCTGAAGACTCTTGTGTTCAAACAGTACGAACCAAGCTTTTCGAGTGTAAACCGTGGCAACTCCGCCTTACGTCACAGGTGAACTGTAGTGATGAACAAGGCCTGTTGATCGCAATTTGCTTCGCCTCTATTGTTTGTTTTTCCAGCATTGATATTATTTGGTTTGCATGTTACTAGTTTGTTAAAATGGCTCGGTTATGATGTGTTATGGTCTCGGGACAGAGACACGAATGGGCATTCCATGTGAGATTTCTTTTTTGTCTATGTTATTTGGATCAGGCCGCTTTTAGAATATGGAAGAACAGAACATGTTTACATCGACTCACTTTTTTGTACACATTTTTTCAAGCAAAATCAGTGGTGGAACTCAATTTCATATATTTTAGATCACCTCTAGGTATATGTACTTAGACACAAAAATAATCAGTTATCGACATTTTCGTGGATCAAGAAAATTCTAATGAAGAAATCACCTAACTAACTTTGTCCGGTGGTATCTTCATCAGCTTTGTCAAACATTTAATGTTTTATGTTTAAGCAATGAGGATAGGTAACAAGCAGTGTGTGTACTGACCGGCGCGGAGAGGCGCTTGCGCTTGGGCGCGTGCTCGATGAGCGTGGTGTCGCGCGCGACCGCCAGCTGCTGGGACAGAGCGCCGCTCGCCGCCTCGCTCGCCGCCTCGCTCGTCGCCTCGCTTACACTGCGCACCACAACAAACATACGATTACATTTCTGTTACTATATGCGTTAACATGAAAACATATTCAGATATTTTAATGCTGTGCCTCCTGTGCTAAGTGATGCAAGTAAAAATCAACACTTTACAGGAGTAACAAAAACAAGATTTGAAAATTCTAGTTCGCGATCTAAGTAGGCTAACATAGGTAAAACTTGAGTACCTTATAGACAAAAAAATTCACTTTCACAGTGCATTTAAATTTTTGTGTTAAATTTTAGTTACAAAGTAATTCTTAAAAAACCTGTGAGTTGCACTTTTTTTATTTCTAATAGCCAAAATTCTGGGATAAAAAAAAATTCAGTCCAGTCCAGTCCAAAAAAATCCAGTTAAATTATGTTGCAGTTATAAGTTGTCTTCGTGTAAATTGATATAACTACATTAAGTACAAATATCTAATAGCTCATTAGAACATGTTCCATTGCTCAAACAAATGAGAATAAATCCTTTTAAAAAAAGTTGATAGGTACTAACACACTAAAAATTAAAAAATAATTACAAATCTAATTGAAAAAAACAAAATAAATGCGACCCTCAATATAACAGATAACATTATAATAGCAATAGATACCTTCTAGTCTGTTTGAAGTCGGTGCAAAGCCAAATAGGTACTTGATAGGCTATGAAGCGGCGCGGCTGTGAGGGTCTTCACGCTGCGCAAAACATGCTAAACGAGCCAAAGTGAGTTACGCATATCTCAAATGCTATTATTTATTCGAATGCATTATTATGTAGTTGATAAATTTGCGTAGGTCTAGTTGGTCTTTATGAATTAACAAAATCTGCGATGCTTCATTAGAATTATGTTGAATTCGTAATGCTTTATTATACATATAAAGCTGACATAGACCCTCCGCATTACTTATTATGAATCGGACTTAGCACTGCCTTCAAACAGACCAGAAAGTATCCATTGCTATTATAATGTTATCTGTTATATAGAAGGCCGCACTTATTGTTTTTTCAATTAGATTTGTTTTTTTTTTACTTTTATTGCTCTGTTAGTATTGTTAGAAGTCGGTTAATTTTTTTTTTAAAGGATTTATTTTAAAATTTATAGTGTATACGTTTGTAATGAGTAGATGCATACAGCAAGCAGCAGATATATTTAACAATTACTTTGACTTAACCAACGAATTAACTAGAAATGGTTATTTCGACGGGTTGTATGCCGTGGAAATGGGAGTGTACGCCAGCTAAATCCCTCTACGTAGGTCACTATATAAATTTTGACCTTAAAGACCATCGATTGCCAAGAGCTTTAGTAAGCTCTTTTCTTGAACAAATTTCTAAGCTCGTACCAAAGATAATTAGATAGAGAGGTTAAAATCGGCGAATCCATTGAACTCTAAGAAATAGGTCTTCTTTTAAAATGTACGATACAATAGTACGTAGTCCATAATATTTATATAACCAAACTGTAGTGTGTTAGATTGTATAAAATTTAGTTCAATAAGTCTGTCCCTTTATTTAGATAAGGTAGGTTTTTTTTTTTAAGCTAGTAAGAATTTGAACCCAAAAATATATTGTTTTCCACATTACTTAATTTACCACTATTAGGAGTGGCTTTTTTTCATTTAAATGGAACCCAAGGGGGAAACATAACCTTCCAAATAAATAAAAAGAATTTTCCAAATTAGTTTCCAAATGAAAGAGTTTTGAGTTAGACAAAAAATATCTGATTATTTCTAGGATAAAATCACAATAGTTAAACTCGACCTAAATCACTCATCACAGGAGGAACAGCATGGTATCCTGACTTGGATATTGATAAGTCAAAAAATAAGTTATTTAAATATAGTTGACGATGAAAAAAAAACATTTTAATATTCTAAATATAGCACAAGTAAATAAACAACTAATTACCAAAAATATTTGTCACAAGAAAAATATTTTAATCAGGACAGCAGTTCGTAATAGCATTATTATAGAGGAAATAAATCATATTAACTAAGTAATTACTAATTTGTTATAGGCATTACGTACTTGGCATTGATATCTGCGTTGGAAGGCCCGTTAGGTGTCCAATTGCTGTCTGCAGTCACTTCATCGTGGACAGGCAAGTTATCATTCACCTCTGTAATGATTGGAGTCTCGGGCTGAAAATGTATACAAATTACATTTTACAATTAAAATATGTAACAACTACATAGTGGCTTCTAAATTAGAATTTTTAGAATAGTGTAAATACATAACAGAGTTAACAATACTTCTTTTTTAATGTACTGAACCTTCTCGTACGTAAGATGTAGTATTATAAAGAGCTTGAAGCAGGTATTATGTGGTGGTATAGGTGTTTATTTGTACGAATATTCTGCTACCGACAACTCACATTTACTTACATAGGAGTCTGTACTATTCACTGTCATTTGACGAAGATACTTTAGGGGCGGAACAATGACAATATTAGTTACGACAACTATACAACGGTATAGTAAACAACCATCTGAATGAATATGAATGTATTTCTTTAAATATATATATAATTAATATATGATGCAAGAGCAGTGTAAGCCAAAGTTCGTAAATATAAATGATGATGAATAAGTGTAATTAATTTGAACAGGTCGTAATTTGAGGTCGAAGGGGTACCCTTCTGTTCGCTTTGATCACTTTGATGTTTATACTACTGTAACTCAAACTGAACTGAACTGACCGTTCGAGGTCCTCAGACCGTCCCGTAGGGGACGTATGGACGCTGTTTCGAGGCGGTATCTACCGCTACCTCTAGATAGGGGTAAGTCATGGGCTGTCATGGCTTTGGTCTTGTTTTCGAGAGGCTGCTTCAGCTTCAGTCTTCGCGCCGCCTCGGCGGTCAATCCCAAGCTAGGTGAGACCCCAGGCCGCACCTGGGGCCCTACTATGAGCGACCAGCGACAGAGGCGGCGACTTATGCGTAATCTGTGAGGTGTCTTGTCCGGCTGAATTTACTGTTCTTACTTCTATATCTACTTACTTACTATTCGTGAGACCACTAGAAGGTTCATTCTAGTGATTTCTAATCCTTATGAGAACTGTCTGTTTAAGAGAAATACAAATTCGTTTTAAATTTAACAATCGCACGACAATTTATTTTCGATCTTATGTATATTGTTTTAAAACTCATCATCGCGCGTCCTTTTATGTCGTTCAAAAAAGATAGTTAAATATTCCTGAAACCAAAGTTTCCAGAAATTATGAATCATTATTTGTGTCAATTGCCAAGTCTCAGGCCACTCACTATTGCATGTTCATAATCATAATCTGGTGCTATTCACCAGTTACTGACCTACCAAAAAATGTCCTGGTGTCAATGGGTTGGGGTCTGACGAGTTCTTACTATACTGTGATATGGGCCTGAAGTTCAGATACGCTTTTATTTGGGATAGGACGGTTCTCAGCTCCCCAAAAGTCAGCTTCGATTCTATCATTGGTTTGATGTTTTGTACTTTAGAACCCAGTCTGCCATAGCATTCTACAGTTCGGAGAATGAGGAGGGATGAGTGAACCACAACAGTTACGGCATGTAACTCTCAAAAGCCTGTATTCCTTTATATCGGAATTAACGCCATATCACCATAAAATCCTTTCGAAGTCAACGTTATAATCAGCTGCTTTACTTGGCGATACATTTTTACGATATCGGCTGCCAAGCATATTGGATATTGTCGCCACCACATAACTGTATGATGTAAATCAGCCTGTAAAATTGGTCCTAATATTAAGGTGTCATTTAAGGAAACTCCATCGGCATCCTTGGATGACGCGTCTAATAACACTCTTAATTTAGCCGCATAATGCGGTAAGTAAACAGCGTCAATTTTACTTTTGTCTTTTCCTTATAAATCTCTTCCATATGACCTAATGATAAATACTCCTTTGTTACCTATATATATTGTCCTTTAAGCTTGCTATTTTTTGCTAGTTTCCTCTAAAGACTATGTTGTCCTTTTAACGCAATTTTTTTATGTTGCGGGGCGTTTTGCTGGGTCGAGAAGGCAGTTTTACGTAATAGCGACTACATAAGTAATCTTCACATGCTTGCTCTTCAGGGCTAAGAAATGACTTTTTAAAGCATGTTGGTTCTGCCTTTAGTTCCCAAAACTTTTTAGGTTTGCGTTTTCTTCAACCTTAGTGTGCATGCTTAGAATTACATTATGACAAGCCGTCTCTCTATTTTGATTGCTGACTTCTCCCGATATGATCCGGCCTAGGTAAGTATCTTGAGGCATGGTTCTACCCTGAGATTCCTTGATTTTTTTGTGCTGTCAAGTGGCTTTACCTTTCACCCCTAGGCCTGCGCTTATAGAGGCCAGAGGTCGTTCAGCGACCTCCGGCCTGAAACGTCTTCGGTACTGTAGTGTATGTAGTAAGTATGCAATTTGTAGACTATGTCACCTATATTATTTATGGTGCATTGGATCGCCATTAAAGCTGTTGGTTCCTTGTCTTATTGTTTTATTGACAAGCTCCCGAATATATTAATGTAAAATACAACTGGTTCCTGGCCCGTTCCCGGGCTTGGCGGGCCGGGAGACTTCTAAGCCTCTCCCGGTCCAGTTCCACCGTCTTCTTCGCCAGCATAACTTGCTAGCAGAAGGAGACGGCGAAATTCAACGCGCTGTCACTCCGTACCATGGGCGCAATCATGTAAAATTATTTCTTTTTCTCTTGAAAAAATCCAAACTCGCCACGAGGAAACGCCTCTGCTCCACCCACGCCGAGCATTCTGCAGGAGTGTGGTGCACCGTTTCCACGGTCCGGTCATCGCAGTGGTGGCACTCAGGCTTTGGCTCCTTGTGGTTCAGACACAGATGATATCGAATTATTCTTTCCCGGTGATCCCATATGAGAGGGCCCCATGTTGCCTTTCGAGCCTATCCTCCATAATGGGTCTTACCGTCGCAATAACGGCGTGCCCAAAATGTTTTTCCTCTTCTGACCACCTCACCCACTCCTCTACGAGAACCTGGCGGAGTTGGGTCAGCACTCGCTGCGGTCGTCGCAGTAGCGCGACATTGCTAGTTTTCAGGGCCTATAATGTTCACACTAACAATAAATTCCGATGTTAGATCACTCTGACTTCCACCTACACCTGGGAAAGATGTTTTGACTGCTATCTTTTTTAACTTTGATTACTGAACAACCGATTCTGTACTAAAAGAAGCTTCAGGACACTGGTCTTTTAGGGTTCTCAAAACTTGTGTAGGTACCTATGCAAATTTCTCGATCTAGCAATACTATGCCATAATGGCATATGCCGTAATTAATTCATAAGAAAACAGACAAGTAGAATGGTAATACGTTTAAATGAATAAATGCAGTTACAGGGAAATAGGTTTGATGATAGATAGAAATATATACCTGGGTGAGTCTTGCCGATCATAACTTGGGACGTTGAAGACCCTTGCGGTTTGGTTGGCATCCGACTGCCGCGGTCCAGACTGCTGCATCCGCGACATGGGCTTGATAAATGAACCATATTCTGTAATGACATTATTTTCTAATATCAGCTATGCAGAAGTACCAAAACCTCGTAAATAAACATCCAGACTAAAATATCCAGATATAATTATAATGTAATATAATATATAACTATGTACTTTGTATATAGATACAGACTCATGGACCAATAAACTTACTAAAAATTTAAAAGATAACTTAGCTAAAATAGCGAAAGTCGACCCTCAGATATTTAAGTAGGTATATTAATTATTTTTTATTAATTTGAACGAAGTTTAATAACTCGAGCAATCTGTAATGATGAAATGATTTCAGATGAAAAGTATACATGCATATTGTATTGTTTCTTACAGACCTTCATTTATATCGCCGATATCTTCAACTCCAAGCGTCGGCGGGCAAGGTGACTCTGTAGTGCGGACCGATGTGTACGGAACATCGTTATACGGTGGTTGGTATGGCGGTGGTGCCTCAGGAGCTGTGGGTCTGGGAGCCGTCAAAATGTTCGTGCTCACCGTACCACTTGGACAATTACCTGAACAAAATTTACGTACGTCAATTCAAACTTTCTAACTAATATTACAAATGACGGTGACGGCTAAACTCCTGCTAAGCAATAAGCGCCCTGCCACTTTAATATAACACGTTTTTATTTTAACTAGTGATCTAAACCCAGTCTTTACTAGGAAAGACACAGGTACCGATATTGTTGCCAAGTTATAGAATAAATAAGTTTTGTTAACGCAGGTTAAAAAATATTGGTCTTTAGTTTATACGAACATACCGAATTTTTTTGTTAAACAAATTTAGAGACAAGAATTTTAACTCTCTACTATTAAAAATTTTTAATGTTGTGAATTGGTAATTATTTCTCCTGTCTTCATTTAAATCCTGACAAATATTGTTAATTAATATGAATTGGTAACATAACGAAATGAACTGCAAACTACCAACTAACCTGCAAACTTGAAGACTCCGGGATTTACGTAGATGTAGACGATAATGCCGATCATCAGAGACAGAAAAATGAATACGCTTACACCGATAAGCCACCATACATAATTCGGCGGGTAGGCAGGCTCTGCTGTGCCAGAGATCACGCAAGGCGCGTTCACGTCACCCAGGCGATCGATCACGTACCTGCACATTTTAAAGAAATAAGTATAAAATAAAAAAACAAGCACTGTTGAAACATCAGTTTTAATAGACAGACATTTAACCCGTAAAGCTCGAAAAGAATGCGTTGGATACATGAAATAATGGGAGTAAGTATACAATACATACATATCACCGAGAAATCAGCGCAGAAATCAATTTTAGTCTTGGCTAAAAGTCCGACTTTTTACTAGTCTAATAAAAGCTGTGTTTAGAACTACTTGAATTGGCTGAAATACTAGATTATGCTCTTCCTGTAGGCAATATAGAGCATATTAACAGTTGTCTGTGGTCAATAAGATGTTGAAGAAGAAGATTATAATGTAGTCACTAATCTTAGTCTCAAGTCACTAGTAATGGTGAGAGTATATTGTTACCAGCGAGGTTTACAATAAATAAAACTAGTCGGTTAATTGCACTTTATTTACAAACACAGTGAGTGTTACAAACAAGAAATCACTATATAACTCGTTACTCGCACTAGAAATTTGCTTCGATATTAATTCGCCGTGTCGTAAAACAATACTGTCCCGTACAGCCAAGACGCTCCGCTTTTATAGCGCTATCGAAATTACTAGACTAATCCCGAGGATTCGATGGAATCTACAGATTTCTATAATCTTCCGATATTTGTCACTAGATGGCACTGCAAGTATCGGAATTAAGAAACATACTCTCAATGCGTAGCGTCCGCTGTCACTCGATACTAGATGGCGCTGACCTCCACACACAACACAAGAACAACTAAATCCTATGACGCAACAATATCATTTAAATTTGTGTGCAAAGTGCTGTTCCTTTAAAAAAAATAGACCACAAACCAAAACTCAAAAATACTTTTACCATATTTTTACTACGTCATCATAAATATAAAGTGACGCAAAATATCTTAATAGCTCAGTAAAACAATGAAAGAACCAAAATTTGTCAGTTTATCCCAAAGCTAAAGCCTTAAAGGTGATATTTTAATTGACTATGTTCCAAAATAATAAGCATTAAAGACGATATGAAAGACAAAATGTGAAGTACCTAATTTATTTGCCTCAGTTTGCTCGTTCGGCGGTAATCACTTACTATCTTACTATCCATAATCCACACTAATATTATATATGTGATAGTGTGTCTGTCTGTTACCTCTTCACGTTTAAACCGCTGAATCGATTTAGATGAAATTTGGTATAGAGATAGCTTGATACTCGGAACACACACACAGGACATAGGATAGTTTTATGCCAGAAATCATCCTTTAATGGAGTGAAAAGGAAGTGAGTGGAAGTTTGTATGGGAAATCAATAGCCACTTAACTGATTAAGATGAAATTTGGTATGGAGATAGATTTATTCTTGAGCGAGGACATAGGGCTACTTTTTACCACGATAACCGATGTACAAGCGGAGCCGTGGCCAAAAGCTAGTCCATACTAATATTATAAATGCGTTAGTGTGTCTGTCTGTCTGTCTGTTAACGCTTCACGCTTAAACCGCTGAAACGATTTAGATGAAATTTAGTATAGAGATAGTTTGAGTCCCGGGAAAGGACATAGGATAGTTTTTATCGCAGAAATCATGCTTTAAGGGAGTGAAAGAGGGAGGTCGCAGTTTATATAGGGAACTGTACTTGTGGTCTCTTTCTGTGACGCTGTAATGCTCCAGAAAGAGGCCGCTGAACGGGATCGGGAGAGGGCCGATCCCGAACGTAGAGGACGTCGGCGCTGATATCAGTCGTCGACGCGGCCGCGGGCCGCCCGAGGGTGGGGACCTCTGGTGGCAGATTTATTGCTGCGGTAGGGGATGGAATGGCCGGCCTGATTCCATTAAGATGCGATCGGGCCGCCATGCTGCGATTGAAGGGGGAAGTGTTCTCCCCTGGGATAGGGCCTGATTAGGCATGGTGTCAATTCGGGGAGGACCTGAAATAACATGGTCCGGGTCCTCCCCAGAGTAGGACACCTAAGGCCGGCCGTCGGGGTGGTTTTTAGTGGAATCGCCACATACTCCTGGCTCCTGAGTCCCGGAGAAGCAGGAGATCCGAAGGGATTTTGAACCCGTCAACAAAAAAAAAAAATGTGCCCTGTACTTGGATAGTAAACAACTACCGTCGCCCATAGACACCTGCAACTGATATCACAAGTAGGTTGCCCCTTAATTTTTATGAATGCCGTAATTAGATGTTGATTCATTGATTTCGGGTTTCTGTCATGTATTACAGACAGCAGTGAGTTGCGTGGGCGTTTCCTCCTAATTTTTATGATTCTCTTTGTATTGTTAAGAATATTATACACGTAATTTTAATTTTGCAATGTGAGAACTAACTCTAGATTACTCATTTAACCTGATTACCAAGATTTTCTAATAAATTTTCAAGATACAAAAGTTTTGTCGAATTTGCTATTACCCTCTCTTGCTATACCGGCGTAATGATTTCTAAAATCAAGCAACAATTTACCTATGTTTTTATTCGATTCGATTCTGACACTTCATTCACTGTCTCTATCCTCGGTGAAGTAACCATAGGAATACACAAACGTTAACAACAAGTGCACTGGAAAGCCATGTCAGTACGTCATTGTTAAAGCAGGATGTAAAAAAAATGATGTATCCGATATATGCATTCGTTTGACTTTTAAGGAAAGCATTAAAAATATTTTTTGGTTTTTCCTACTAGTTTCTCGCAAGGATGTAACGTTATAACCGTAGATTACTATTTGTACATTTTATTTTATATTATGTATTTGTACACAAATACATTTTATTCGTATTATTTAACTGGTTATCGAGATCGAGATTAGCAGAGGCTCTGCTATTTAATTTCAATTTCAATTTCAATTTATTGCATTCCATAATGTACATTCAGGTGGTAGGCTTAAAAGTAGATAACAATTATGGACCCTGTCGGGCACAGCACTATCAGGAGAGAGGAGGAGCTGGCTAATTATGCTAGTTTGAAGAGCTTGATTTCAATACCAACATTTTCTGCTTTAAACGAGATAAACTAATTAAACCAAATAGTATATTTAACTTGCATGTTCATAAAAGGATGTAGTTGTTGATAATTTAATAAATTTATTAATGAACAATGTCAGTACAAAATTATTTTACCATTCATTGTATATCAATTTATTGCATAGTCATTCATTATATATTAATATTTATTAAATGTAAATTTATTAGATTTTATGTCTATACTGGCATGTGTTTATAATGATTAATTTTAGTTATTTAAAGTTTATAATTTATCTTCTAAGTATTCCTTGACACTGTAGTAGCATTTATTTATCAGGAGTTTTTTTAATTTGTTAACAAACGTATTGTATTTATTTTCGTTTTTGATTTCGTTTGGTAGCCTATTATATACTTTTACTGACATGACCAATGGTCCAGAGGAGTGAATTGCTAATCTTGAAGTAGGAAGATTTAATCTACTTTTGTGTCTTAGGGTATTTACATTGTTTATACTTGATTTTTAATGTAAGAATGTTTAAATTAGGTAGAATAAAGATTCTTATGAATATTTGAAAGAGTCAGGTCAACTGTAATCTTAGGGGTCATTTATGATTCCGTCGGGGTACCAGGGATTTCCTTTCTAGGGTACACCCTGGCTGCTGGTGCCTGAGACGGCGAGCGGTTTTTGGTCGGTTTGAGTCCGAAATAGCCACCGGTGAGTGGTATCCTAGGGGATTTCCGCACAGGAAAAAAAGAGGGTCATTTATAAAATACCTACTATCAGACCATCAAAATAAAGGGTTTTTAAATCCTACAAAATGAAACTATTCCAATTATTATATGGATTAGTCTATCTAGTCCATTATTGGTGGCAAAAAATATCCAATTTGATAGCATTCTTGGGGGTGTGTGTGTGTGTAAGATTTCCATATTTAATAAATATTAAAAGGACTTTAACGCGCCATCACAACATCATCGTGCTAAATTCAAATAAGAAAATAATTAAAAATAATATTTCAACCACTAAGGTGGATTTACTTGAATTTTAAAGACACTAATCTTGAGTGTAACCAATTTCAATATTATTTTTAATTGCGAATCGAACTCAGATCTTCCTCCTTTTTAGAGTCCAATAAAAGTGACAAATGTTAGTGCGTTATACTAAAGTTTAGACTAGTTGTTGTATAATATCTTAATTGGGAACGTACCCTTTAAAACAAAGTCCGCATTTATCGATGGATGTAATACAAGTGTTGTCTTCCAACGGCTCGCGCTTGAAATCTTGACACCTCAAGCACTCCCTGCACTTTTTAGCTTCCGTGTCACAATAGTAGCCACGAGTGCAATGGTCTCCATCTGTGCAGGACACAGGCTGACTGTGCCCCACAGACAGGCACAGGGCCCATAAGCACAGGACAGCCCCCTCTCTGTAAAATAAAAATGTTTGGTTAAATATAGGTAAACACTTACGAACCTAGGTCCTTACGAACATATTTATTTCATACATACAAAAAATGTGTATGTTATAGGACCTATCCAAGGTATTACACCCAGTTTATGGGATATCAGTGGATGTCATGAATGCACCGCTAAGCAAATCACAAGGTAGGTATGTAATTGATAAAATGATCGTGTTAATTTCCGAAACCACTAATAATTAAATATTACTAGCTGACCCGGCAAACGTTGTATTGCAAAACAAAAAAAAAATTAGGGATGGGTCACCCTTACCATTTAGGGGTATGAAAAATAGATGTTGGCCGATTCTCAGACTTACTCGATGTGCACACAAAATTTCATGAGAATCGGTCAAGCCGTTTCGGAGGAGTACGGGAACATTGTGACACGAGAATTTTATATATGGTGGAACGTAAAACTTTAAGTCAGTGGATGTCATATTTCATGTGCCTACTCTTATATGTTTACTAAATCAAAATACAAAGTTATTTGAATACACCGATGTATTAAATTTTGACAATTTTAGCCATTTCAGAGTGGAACACAATGATGAGAATTCTGCCAATTTTGATTATTTTCAGCTCTGAATAATCACGTGCCCCAAAAAATGCAGATCTGACGAAGTCCTGTTGGCCAGAATGGATGTAGTTTGTGATTTCTTACAAATCTTTTAAGTCGTAGGATGTTTATGTTTATCAGCTTTATAATTTTATTTACATTTGTATATTTACTATAATCTATGATTACTTAGGATCTATGATCGATGTGGATATTTGTAATGTGGATAGAAATTATTTGAAAACGATTATAAACGAGTCTTTCACTGTATTTGGTTGTAATGATTGATTATTACAATGTATATCCATACAAATCATATTGAATAATATAGATCGAGTACGTTATTAAAAGAAAAATAAGACAAACAACATTCTTGTATAATAAGCCTGTAAAAGACAACACATTAAGACCTAATTGCTTGAGGAAAAGAGATATAGAATAGGATCACCTGTGCACGTGTGAAGAGCTCTGCGAATCGCCGACTCGCTTATTCATAGGACTATTTTAATTTATTCTAAATACAAAACACGGCCGACACTAGTATGACCTGCCTCAAGACTCAAACAAGCGATGACGCAATGCGTTATCTGCTACATTTTGAGGCTCCGACATCTTAAATCGTATGAGGGGTATAATTACATATCAATCGGCGCAAATAACAGAATAACTACGAACTTCTTCGTCAGTCAAACTATGCTTGTTTGCAAAGTCTTTGCCACTTATTTACTTATGTTCAATTTTTCACAATCTAAAGAAGAAAGAACAGCAGACCTCGGCAATGTAATTGCGATTCTTCTTCACCTAATCGTTTCTAATATAGTATTCTGGTAATCACCCGAGCTTATGCTTTGAAAAGTTTTGACCGTGTGCTGTGTGTTTGTTGTTTTCAAAACCTTAAATTTATAACAGAGTTTATGTAATGAAACCAAATCTAGATAGGCCTGATCACACAAATTGCAATCTAATTTCAGTTTTTAATTCAATACATACCATGAAATTATTTAAATAATACATATTCGTAATTCTGGTGGGTCTTACCTTGATTAGATACACTATCTTAATAGGTCACTGACCATACAACATTGTAGAGGACATTTTTAAGGCAATAACCTCTCTGGTTTATGAAAGTAAAATAGCATACTCGATACTTTGATCTGTAAATAATTGCCTATAACCTTAACGATGTAGGATATAAATGTAACGGTAGGGGTCTGCGCTATCCCTAGCGATAGTATGTGTGCATATTGTAAAAGGCAAAGTCAGCCTAGATCAGTCTAACAACGAGATTAATTATTGAAAAGAATTTAAAGTACATTGACTTAGTAAAAACTTTAGAAAAAGGCGACTTAATTAATAACCAGTAGCGATAGACCTATTAAAATAGTGTTTTTAGGGCGAGGAATATCCTAATAGTATTCAAGGCAGTCTCCGCTGTGGTCGTTTAAAATTAAACCAACAAATTTCGTCTTCAAGTCTATCGACGAGGTGACCTTGGTTTATTGGATAGGTAATTTATGTACCGACGACCAAATCACAGTGGGAGGACTAATATTATAATTATCATATAAGACACCACACTACGAAGTGAATAACTTACGACACTAAAATAATGATTAAATAATTACTACGATTTCTACTACTGATGATGTAGAAATTTATAGATTTAAAAACAATACAATAGGTGTTTCTTCTATAAGTTCTTGGCAATTGCTTGATTGTAATAAATCAAAGCAAACAGCGGGAAACCCTTAATTTTCTTTTCAAAATACATATAATCTTCTTTTTATTACTATCGGCTAGTTATAAATTTTATGAAAACTTATATTGGAGAAACTTTATATTCATATTTTTATCATCCAGAGCTAGTACATAATCGTCATACATTAAAATTTTAAGTGTCGTGTGAGCGAGATAAAGCTAATCTGGTTTATTAGATGGTTCTTAATTGTTAATAGTAAGCTATTTATACAAAACATGAAAAAAGTATTGAAGAAGTCAGCAAACAAGAAAAGCGAATATTGCGTTGCTAAATACTTGCTTTAAAAACAAAAGATTGCTTTTTTTAGATATCCTTTCCTTAGCGTTTAGGGTTGTGTACACTATACTTACTGAGTTTAACGTGATAAAATTAATAGTTTATTAAAGTGTCACGTATAAACTGTGTCCTGTCGTAACAACAACTACGTAACAACTTAAAATTTTTAGTCATCAATATCTAATCTACTCTATCCACTCCTATATTTTCTTTTTAACAGGTTGATTAAAAGATGGCAATCGATATTTATCTTAAATAAATAACTTTCAACTTTAATTGTTTCAATAGATTATTAAAAAAATCTTAAATTCGTGTGACGTAATTTATGGATGGACCCTTATCTGTCTTCATTTTAAAAAAAATTGATGTTACTGCAAATCAAATTTGCCTACAAATCTACATTTACATTTTAATCAATTCAATGTACATTTTAATAATAAACATACGTTTCGAAATAAAAACAAAAAATATGTATTTCAATATTATTATTATACTAATGACGTCAGTATCGACGGATAATTCATTCATTCTACTTATTACAGTAATGTCGGCAATGTATGCATGGCAATTTATACGATATCAGTGTAATCATTAATTAAATGTTTAAAAGTAAATGTCAATTTCATACATCTCTAATTATATGTAACACCCAAGGAAAATGACTGAAGATATCAAAATTGTTTTGAGAATGCAAAGGGATCTATACAATAAGAAGCTACGTTTTAAAATTTATTTTTGTGTAGACGCATAGTGTTTGCGTCTCCAGTTATGTGGAATAGTGAGTCATAGTACCGGTTTGTTAGTGCCATGCGCGCTGTGGCACGATTGAGAAGCAAAACGAAGCAATTTAAAATTAAACTTTAAGCACGGTAGAGAAATGGCTGCCAATACATATAAACGCACACACTAAAGGTATTAAGTGACTAGGATGAAGGATACAGAAACTTGTCGTGGGGACAAAGAGTTAACAAAAGATGATGCAATATTGCGTAATTTTATGTTGACGTTCCTTTTTACAAGTATGGGAATAAAATGAAAACTTATTTTAGATAAACGTTATTAATAATTACTTGAGCGAACACTTTAATTTATAATATGGATACTTCCAGATAAAAATCACTGAATAAGTGACCTCGATCGACAAAGAGTAGTTAACTTAAGCAACATTGACTTAATTACAACACTGATAGGGATTTTAAACGATTATTTCAGTTTTACGATAATATAATATGTAATTGGCTGGCTATGTGTGATAACTATTTGAAAACTATTAAAGGATGCGTTGTACATTTTTGACCAGATTGAAATATCATGATCATACGAATTATTCGAGTAAACATTGAAATAAAGTGGATAGGACAACAAGTCAAAGAAACAAGTAAAAATATGATGTCACATTTTCATTGATTTACTTAATCCATGAAGGTTTCTCAATATTACTTTACTTCCGTTCTGTTATTTAAAATTTTAAGGTTGTTGAAATTTATTAATCCAACAATGAATACTGTTCCACATTTCATCATTTTAAAAAGCCATTACTATTTACTGCTGGTAATTACTATTTTCGTGAAAATTAAACATTAAACAGGACTTAATGGATGTTAGCTTGTTGTGAACTTAATAGTGCATAATAGTAATGCAAATTACTGTTAAACACTAAGACGGCACCTTATCTATAACCTACCGATTCTGTGGAATTGCGATTAATATTTTTAGATAAGGAACTGTGACATAAATAGTAAAAGGATTAAGATAAGTGTACATTTTGATTACTCAGGAAGACGTATGACAGACTACTACTACGCAACTAGGAGAGAAAAAGAACGCAATAGGCATATGTTACGTAGGTCACTATATAAATTTTGAGACACGCAAAAAGTAAACAATAATAAAAAAAACATTTTCTTCCATGCATCTACAAGGTATATATTTTTATTCCATATAATTTTGAATTAAATATCAATTATATTTAATTATTTTGGGAATAATTTTATTCTTTAAATTAAGAGTACAATAACATTCAATTCGTAATAAGAGAAAATTTGAATAATTATGAATGAAATTAAAAATAGTAGGTATATAATACATTATATATACAAGGTATACATACAAGAATTACTGTTATTATTATTTGAGTTATTATTTTAATTATTTTGCATGGACCTCTCTTAAAGTAAACAATATATGCTTACGATTTATATTAAATTTTTCAAAATACTCTCAATCACTATACAAATTTCCAGTCGACTAAACCACTCTTGGAAATACTTATTCCAGTTTTCCTCCGACAAGTCAAAAATTTGTGATTCCAGCGCTTATTCGGCACTTGAAAAAAAACTTGCCTTTTATATTATCTTTTATCGTGAGGAATAAAAA